TCTTAACATGTGTTTGAAAGTATATTAATATTATATTATATTTAATATTATCAATGTTTTAAATTATATTACTATTTAATGATAAACTTCAAAAAACGTCGTACTGGTACAGCTGTTAGCCCCAATGCATTGATGCAATAAAATTACCTTCAGTGTGTGTACTTCACCAATCCTCCCATGTAATTAAAAGTTATTATTATATTCTTACAAAAATTATTTCCAATAAATCTTATAAAAATATAACAAGACAAAATTATAATAAAAATATTTTTTTAAATTATAAATTGCGTTATTATATTTTTATAGTTTTCTCTAAAATTACTTTTATCTAAATATAATAATTCTGATTAAAATATTAAAAAAGTTGTTACTCTAAAATATATATTGTCTCACTTTTCAAAATTATTTTATATAAAATATTATTTTTTATTGGCTAATTAAATTAATAATAATATTTTAAAAAAAAAGCTTAAACAAAGTGTGATAATAAACATTTTAGAGTGATTTTGATAAAAATAAAATAAAAATACTGTCTCATGAAATTTAGGGTGACCAAGCTTTCCTTAACCGAAGTAGACGATATATCACTCTTCCCTTGCAGAGATAGCATCTTTCGATTGTTTTCTTAGTTTATAAAATACAAATTTATACACTGTTTATACCCCACGCTAATCACGAACAAGATATAAATTAGATATCAATATAATAAACTAATGACATAAAAAAATAGTAAATAATATGAATCAAAGGCCATATAATTATATGTATTGATTTTTGGTCCACTTTCGTTCTCTTCATGTCAATGGCAAGTGGTTCTCCATTTCCCTCTCTCCATCTTCACAACCACCACTCCCTAACCATGCACGCCGTTCCACAGCCGCGCGTGGACGCCACGCGCGGGTGTGCTCCTAACAGAAAAGCCGAGGTTATAGCATTCGACGAATCGAAAACGGGTGTGAAAGGTGTCCTAGATTCCGGGGTGACGAAGATCCCACCCATGTTCCACGTCAAGGTGGACCCCACTGACACGTCACCAAGTGACTCCAACCTTAGCATCCCAATCGTGGATCTTGGAGACATAGACAAGAACATGGCTCGACGCGTTGAGGTTGTTGAAGAGATTCGAAGTGCTTCGGAGGAATGGGGTTTCTTTCAGGTGGTGAATCATGGTATTGGTGTTGAGGTTTTGGATGAGATGATTGGTGGGATTCGTAGGTTTCATGAACAAGATGCTGAGAGAGGAAGCGTTTTTATTCACGAGATAATGATATGAATGTTCGATATTTTTCTAATGGGAAGCTGTTTAGAGATATGAGTGCTAATTGGAGAGACACCATTGCATTTGTTGCCAATCCTCATCCTCCCAATCCTAATCAAATGCCACCTGTTTGCAGGTAATTACTAATATACTTGTTTTTGTGCTAAAACTTGCCTATGCTTTGTTTGGCTTTTGGTAATTTTGGTTCATCATTCTCATTGTTTAATAACCAGGACAAAAACACGGTTAGTTTTGAATGTAATTAGTACTTTATATATATAAAAGTTTAAGTAATTATAATAGTATAATTTTATTAGAAATAAAAGTATTTAATATATTTTAATATTTCTAATAAAATTTAATATTGTTAGTTTTATAAATTTAACTCTTAATAAAATCATTTTTATGGGTTAGCATTATCATATAATTTAAACTAAATTAATGATAGATAATTTTTCTTATGTTACAACCAAACTTATTTTAGAAGAATCTTATATTTGTTTTGGACACCTCAAAACAGATTAATTCAATATACTTTTTATAATCTGTACAATAATTAATGCTAATTTGTAGAACACTGATTCTGTATTTTAATTTAAAATTTGTGATGTTATTCTAACGTTATATTTTTTAATGTTATACTATAACCATATCAGGTCATGCTTCATAATATATACCGTTCTATGCAGTAATTTAGAAAATTACAGCTTTGGCTGTTCTATAATATTGCAAAACTGGTATTCTTCTATTATTTTGGCATTTATGCAACTTTGTTGTGTTTCATATTTGTTACACTCACATGACATTCAGTCAAGGTCTGTACATTTCACTAGCAAAACCTATCAAAATTCTTTTGCCTTTGATGAAATGATCATGTATTTGTAGAGATATTGTGGCTGAATATATAAAAAAAGTAAGGGTGTTGGGCATTACAATCTTTGAGCTATTGTCAGAGGCTCTTGGCCTTAAACCTTCTTACTTTAATGATATGGATTGTGCTGAGGCACTTTATATGTTGGGTCAATACTATCCACAATGCCCTGAACCTGAATCAACTATGGGCATTACAAAGCACACTGATTGTAACTTCATTACAATACTTCTACAAGACCAAATGGGTGGTCTTCAAGTTCTTCATGACAATCAATGGGTTAATGTTCCCCCGGTGCAAGGAGCTCTTGTTGTAAACATTGGAGATATTCTACAGGTAACTATTGTAATAGTTTATTCTGTTTTCTAAAATAGATAAATGGCCTTTAGATAGAATAAAAATTAACTTTAAATATATAAATATTAAATATTCTTATATACTAAGGTTGAATATGTATAAATATATATGAAAAAATATTTTCTTATATTAGTGTAAGTTTAAAAACTCTTCCATTTAATCTAAATTTTTTATTTAACTTACATCTAATGACCAATGAAATAATAAATTATAATCTGTTAAATGTAAGTTAAATGAAAAGTTCAGATTAAGTGTAAGAGTTTTTAGACTTACACTGGTGTAAGAAGATTCTGCCCTAATATATATATATCCATACGTTACAATACAAAATATTGGATTATTCAAAAAATTGAATTATCAAAATAAATTTGATTTGCTACTATGGGACTATGCATATTTACTTCATTTTAACTATTTTGCCTTAAATTTTGTTTATTTAAGTGTTTCACAAGCAACCGCCCTTTGTTTTATGTAAATTCAAGGGGTGAGTACAGCTACATATCGGTCTCGAATTTGCTTTTCATGCATATAAAAATAACATGGTGACAATTTGTACAGATATCTCTCTTTGTCGTGGTCCTTTCTACTTTTCAAGACAAATTCATCTATTTCCATAAGACTATGATGGGAATCTATATGTTCTTTAAAGTACTGAAATAAAATCATAATAACACGATGGAAGATGTATCATTGTTAAGCTTAAAATGTTACTTTCAAAAGGAATCGTAAAGGAGATGATGCAACATAGAAGTGAACTGAAATATTAAAGATTTTTATCAGATTACCATTATCATACACAATATTTCATGATTATAATTATCAGTTTCCTTTTTATTGGTGCAGCTTATGACAAATGACAAGTTCATCAGTGTTTATCACCGGGTCTTGTCAAGGAATGTTGGCCCTAGAATTTCTGTAGCATGCTTCTTCATGAATTTTACTATATCTGAATGTACATCAAGGGTTTATGGTCCAATAAAGGAATTGTTATCAGAAAATAACCCTCCAATTTATAGGAATATTACTATGAAAGAGATTTTGACAAATTATTATGCAAAAGGCCTTGATGGGAACTCTTACTTGCTGCCTTTAAGGTTGTGAAGCAAATCAACTCACTCTATTAGATGTTTGGCTTTTTGCCCTCATGGCTCTCATGGAGATGTCTTTATTCTGAGTTTATCATTGTTAATTTGCGCCTTTGGCTGTCATTTTCAGGCTTTAGCATCTTGTTATGTTTCAATAAAAAACATTAATTAAGTTGTAGAGGCAAAAGGTTAAAGCCATGTTTAACTAGTAGTACTATAGAAGAGCATAACATACTGTATCATGAAATTAACTTCATATGTTCTTGTGGGAGTTAACAGATTTTTCAATTTTTTGTTGCTTTCAAGTACAGTGTCAATTTGTTTAGAGTCGGTTGTTGTCTTGAAGAGCCATGTATGCTTAGTTTTAAATCTTATATTTAACATTGCATATCTTTAAGTCATGACATTTCAATTTTTCTGCAGTAAATATCACTAAATTTTGGTTTCATATCATTTTAGAACCTGGAATAGCCATTTTGTGAACACTGCACTGAGAGACTCCAAGTCCACAAAAAGATAATTCAACTTATCATCTGCCCATTGAATTTGAAACCTGAGGGTTGTAGTGTTTCCATGGAGAACAGAGGCATCTCCTCTAAATGTGTTTCTTTTTAAAACTATAACCAGCCCCACCAAATAAAACTTTTCCACTGTGCCCGTCACAATCTTCCTTAGTTTTAACCTGAACATTGACCAACGCTATTCATAATAAATTCTTACTACTAAATTATTTTTTTTATTTTTTAATAAATTTTAGTCAATAATAAAAAAATATAAGTGTTACCGGTATTTCTCTTAATTTTTGTTAAAATAAATTAACTTAACAAAATACAAAATAAATATCAGAGATGTTTGAAAGAATTTATGAAGAGTTTATAAAAGACTTAAAAGTTTTTATATTTTTGAAAAATTTTAATTTAGTTTCTGAAAAAATTTATTTTTAGTCTATTTTTTAAAAATTAATGTTAGTCTCTCTTACTTATGTGATATAATAAAAAAAATATGGGATAACTTTTAGTTAATTATGTTATTAATAGAGATTAAAAGTATTGATTTTAAAAAAATAGAAATGAACTAAAAATAATTTTTTTATAAACTATAAATATTTTGCAATATACAAGAAAAATTTATTTAAGCCTTTATAAAAAATAATTTATGACATTTATAATTATTTATTTAGTTTACTTTAATAGTTTTTTTTATAACTTATCAACATAATTTTTGAAAAATTATTTTAATTAGTTTTATGATTATAATTAAAGTTTACGTTTTTAACTTTTGAGGAATTGAATATCTTTTTATAAAATGTCTCAATCTATTTTTATTCAAGTTAAAATGAATTTTAAAAAAAATAAAAACAAAAATATTCACGTTCAAACCCAATTTTTACGCCTCAATTATATATTGTGTCTACTTCTTCCACATGGGCGGCTATTTCCCCTCTTTATAAGGGAAACAGTATCATATTTGTGGCTTAGAACACTTGAATTTTCTCCAAGTTTTCCAGTATGGTAATCACAAGCCCAAGTGAATTAGAGTTAGAGGGAAGTACCAATTCCAAATATGATAGACTAGCTGAAGTCAAAGCCTTTGATGAAACAAAACTTGGTGTGAAAGGGCTCTTAGATTCTGGTGTGACAAAGATCCCACGCATGTTCCATTCTACCACGTTGGAAGGTTACACTGAGACATCACAAAGTGGCTCAAATTTGAGTATTCCCATCATAGACCTCAAAGACATACACACAAACTCAACCCTTCATGTTGAAGTACTAAACAATATTCGAAGTGCATGCAAGGAGTGGGGTTTTTTCCAAGTGGTCAATCATGGTATTCCTGTTGAGGTTTTGGATGAGATGATTTGTGGAATTCGTAGGTTTCATGAACAAGATGCTGAGGTAAGGAAAAGCTTTTACTCAAGGGATTTGAATAAGAAAGTTAGATATTTCTCCAATGGTAGCCTTTTCAGAGACCCCTATGCTAATTGGAGGGACTCAATTTCATTTTTTGTAAACCCTGATCCTCCTACTCCAGAAGAAATACCAGAAGTGTGCAGGTAATGTTGTTAATACTAATTTTGACATTAGCACTATGCACATGATTACCCTTCATAATGGTTTACCAATTTACTTCTTTGAGAGTTAATTATAACAAGAATGATGAAGGTATATTTGATAGTAACTTTTTTTTCTTAGAGTTTTTAAATTTGCAGTAAATGATTATAAACTCTTTAAAACTTGTTAAATTTCTTAAATTAGAGTTTTTTTTAAGGTGTTTGATGTGTTAAATGTAAACTTGAATGGGTATTCTATATTTTCTTTAAATTAACTGCTGTGATTTCCTAATGTCTTAAAAGATGAGAGGATAATAACTTCTTTTTCAACTAAATCACTAATTTCATTATCAATTAATATAAAATTAACTGTTTGGATTATTTCACATGTAAAAGAGGTACTAAACCCTCTTAGGTACAAGGAATATAGTAGATTTTACCTTTCTTTAATTTTTTTTTCCTCCTTTTTTTTCTTTTTTCTTTAATTTTTCCATTCCCTCACCCTCTAAACTCCAGAACAAAGCCCAGGGTGGCTTTTACATTGTCTTGCTTGTAGTAAATTGGATGTACTAAGCTAACCCATAGTTGTTTCTTTTTAATGATGTCAATAAAACATGTTTTGTTCCTCTCATGTAGGAAATTTACTTTATAGAGAAAAGTGATAAATTAAAGAAGTAGATTGTAATAATTTTTCTCTTTTTGCTTTAATTTTTAGCTTTAGAGGATATCTTATCCCTTTGTATTTCTCCTCTCTTTCTCAATAACCTTTTTAATTTATTAAAAAAAGTACCACACATTGATTTTTCTCATCAATAACTGTGATTTTATTTTATTTTTTTAAAATAAGACTAACTTTAGAAGAGTTGTATATAAGCTACAGCTGGGTTGGATATAATTGCAAAAATATCACTGGTAAAGTAGTTGGTATTTTGTTTAATTATTATTAAAAAAAAAAATCCACAGACGAAGCACCATTAGTAATTTTGCAATATCAATGGAAAATTTTTCATAATTCATGTTTGTTACATCCCATATAGTCCAAGTAGTCAGTCACTTGTGCAATTTGCTTGCAGACCCCTAAAATTTGACATTTTCCTTTGTCAATGATAAAATAACCATGAATTTGCAGAGACATAGTGGTTGAATATATAAAGAAAGTAAGAGCCTTGGGCATTACAATCTTTGAGCTATTCTCAGAGGCTCTTGGCCTTGATCCTTCTCACCTTAAGGAAATGGACTCTGCTAATGGACTATTTCTTTTGTGTCACTACTACCCTCCATGCCCTGAACCTGAATTAACTGTAGGCACTCCAAGCCATACTGATACTAGCTTCATGACAATTCTTCTGCAAGACCAAACAGGTGGTCTTCAAGTTCTTCACGAGAATCAATGGGTTAATGTTCGTCCAGTGCATGGATCTCTTGTTGTAAACATTGGGGATCTTCTTCAAGTAAGTACTGTAATCACATGCATACAAGCAATATTTTCTTATGATATTTGTTGTTGTGATTTAAGAAAGCAATCTGGGAAAAGAATTACACAATAACTTGCAAAAGGGGAAACCGTGTAAATGGATAAAATGAGACCAAGCCTTTTTATACTGACTATTCTATTCATGTTCTTAGCATCCTTTGTCCTTAATCTTCTATATCATTCATCTTGCTTCCTGATTCCATTTCAACATGGTTCTTTAGAGATCTAATTTTATCAGAATTATCATGTGCCCATCTATGTTTCCTTTGAATTACAGCTATAAATTGGAACTGTTTTATTTATAGAACATAATGCAACAGTTACAAAAAGAATATGAGCAGTTCTATTAGAATCCAGGTAGAATGTCATAACAAATGTCATGTTTTATTTTTGGAATTTTGGCAATTCTCCCATCTATAATTTGTGTTAAGATGTCCCACATATGATAGAAATATAGTCAGAATCGTTCTTGTTAGACTTAGCAATCCTACGAATTAACTTTTGAGAGTTAGACTTAATATTTTAATATGATAGTTTATAAAGTTTGAATGATTGGTCCTTCAAACATCATGCATCAGATGTGTATCAGCCTCCTTTTCATGATTATATTTTATCAATCTTCTTTTTATTGGTGCAGCTTATGACAAATGACATGTTTGTGAGTGTCTATCATCGGGTCTTATCAAGGTATGTGGGCACCAGAATTTCAGCAGCAACCTTCTTTGTCAACTCATCACCACAGGGTGCATCAAATGTTGTTGGTCCAATAAAGGAATTGTTATCAGAAGAAAACCCACCAATCTATAGGGACACTACTATGAAAGATGTCATGGCACATTATTTTGAAAAGGGCCTTGATGGGAACTCTTCCTTGCACGCTTTTAGGTTGTGATTCAAATATTTAGAATAAGATTGGAGCACTCTTGAATCTTTTGGAGTCAACTTTAGTGTACATTTTGTCACGGTTAACTTGTGCCTTTGACTATGATTTTCAGTATCTTTTGAATTTTAAATAAACAGCATCAAGTTCTAGGAACAGAACAAGGTTAAGGCACCCATAATTATTTGTACTACCCAAGAGCAAATCTTCTGGTTTGTGTATTATGATAATAAAATACAGACTCGAGCAAATTTAACCTATGCATTATGATAATCATTCTGATAGTACATAGGAATTTATTATATGTAACCTTTTCATGAAATAGTGGTTGGAATTTGAGCACTCTCCAACTTCAATATTTATATTGTGATATGTGATAGCACTTTCTCCAGAGAGACTAATAATCATGTCAACCCAGGGGCGATCAATGGCTATATTTCAATTTACCAAAATGAATTAATTATTCCATTCAAAGCAACTTCCAAATAATGTTTTTACAATCGAATCAGAGATAAGCTAATGAAAATTTCATTTAAAGTTGAATATATTTAATTGGTTAAATTTGTTTTTGAATTAAAATAATACGTTAACTGGGAACTTCTCAAAAGCAAATTGTCCAATATATAGAAAAATGAATCTTGTGAGCTTATAATATGTGATCTAATCTACAATAATTCAGAAGAAATAGTTCATTCATCTTGGGATTGGGGAGTCTTGCTTCATTTTTAACTAACTTTTCTTTTGTACTTTTATTTCCCTTGAAGTCATGTTGAATCATCATTGGCCCTTTGGCCTGAATTTTTTCTTTGGGACATTAACATCTATTTATAACATAAAAGTTGGCAAGTGAATTATAATATTGACACATCAATTATCCACAAGTCAACTATTTGTCACATTATCAATTTGTCATCATCGTCGCATTTGATTGAATCCCTGGTTTCCTCTCTTCTCAAGTCCATTGTCTAGTTTTAATAATTTAGGAACCTCTAATTCATCTTACCAACCTCACCTACATCATATTTAAGTTTTTCGACTAAATTAATATTATTTTAATAATTATTTATAAAAACTTAAAAAGCATCATAAATGATAAAAATAATAATATGAAAGATCTAAGAGGGTAAAATTAGTTTTAATTTTGGGGTGAAAAGAAAAGCAATTTAGATATTCAACAGGAACAACAATATTCTGAGAGTAGAACAGTTAGGACTACGGAAAGCAAGCACATGTAAGTGGGATTGCGTGTTGACTTTAAAATCGGGGATTCCTACGAAAGCCGAATTTTATACAATTATTTGAGTTGATTTTTAATTTAATAAATATTACTACTAATTTTTTAATTTTAATAAATTTAAATTAATAAAAAATATATTAAATATGTTTAAAAATGTGTTATCAACGTTATTCATTATTTATTGCAAATTATGAAAGCTTTGAATGATCAAAATATTTACTTTTCTTATTATTATTATTATTGTTGTTGAAACATTGGAAATAATAAAATTATTTTAATATGTTCAAATACATACAATAATTAATCAATCAATAAATAATTTTTATTAAAAATTAAAGTATTTAAGTTATTAATACATCAATTACTATAATATTTTGTAATTTTTAATAAAATTATTATATAAAGATTATTATTGTTGTATATATTGTAAAAAGTATTATTATTATTATTCGAACCAAGTTTGTCTTGTGTGGAGGAAACTTTTTATGTGCGTCACATGGCAACTGCTAGTTTCGTTTTCCGTAATTGTTTTTTAATTTTTAATAATTTTTATTTATTTGACCTTTGACAAATATAAAAATTATGTATTTTTTATTATACAATATTTTATGCGAAAATGATATCCCAAATTAATAGTTTATTATTGAATTTTTTTTGGTAAATAGTTATTAAAATAACATTATTTCAGTGAAAAAAAAACTCTTATTTATAATTTACTTTTTTAATATAGGCTCAAGGACCATAAAAAAATAATTTTAATTAATATTATAACATTTAATATTATCAATATATTAAATCTTAATATATCTTAAATGTTTTTAATAAAAAGCTACTTATATTTAAATTCCTTATTCTATAAACACATTAACAAAGATGCATTTAATAGGAAATCAAGAAGGTGACAGGTAGCAGCATGTATTACTATCCATAATCGTAAACAGTAATAAATAATTGGAACGTGGCTTTCAATGAAAAAAAGCTGGCATAAGTCATCTTTGGCCTCAAGTAGAATAGATTATAAAAGGCTTCTACTTTTTCCACACCCTTCACCATTTCACTATCTTTGCTTATTAGGAGTGATAGATATCATTAGCAAATTCATCTTAGGCACACATTGCATTTGCATTTTCTTCCATTTTCATAGTATGGTAGTCACAATCAGCAACAAGTTAGAGTCACAAGAGGCAGGTAACAATTTCACTTACGACAGGATAGCTGAAGTCAAAGCATTTGATGACACAAAATTGGGAGTGAAAGGGCTATTGGACTCTGGGGTGACAAAGATCCCACGCATCTTCCATCATTCAAAGTTGGACCTCAATGGGACCTCAAAAAGTGACTCAAATTTCAGTGTCCCCAGCATAGATCTTAAAGACATAGACATAAATTCATCACTGCGTGTGGAAGTGGTTGGTAAGATTCAAAGGGCATGCAAGAAGTGGGGATTTTTTCGAGTGATCAATCATGGTATTCCTGTTGAGGTTTTGGATGATATGATATGTGGGATCCGTAGGTTTCATGAACAAGATGGTGAGGTTAAGAAAATGTTTTATTCAAGGGATAACAATAAGAAAGTCAGATACTTCTCCAATGTTAACCCTTTCAAAAGCCAAGCTGCTAATTGGAGGGATACATTATCATTTTTTCTAAGTCCTGATCCTCCTAACCCAGATGAAATGCCAGCTGTATGCAGGTAATTTTTATTAATACTAATTCATTTTTCCATTGATAACATGCACATGTTCACATAGTTTATCAAAGTTAAAAAAATGATTTTATTATTTTTCTTATTTATATATCTAAAGAAAAAGATCGTTCTTATTTATTTGTCTATATAAAAATTTAAGATAATTTTAATTATTATTTCTCACTCAAGTACCCTTTGCATGTTCATATAAAATATTTCTACAATTTGAGTTGTGCAAGAGTAAACCAGAAAGGCCTATTAATAAATGATAGATTATTAAGTTTAGCAATCAATTTTTAATAAAATATTCTTTTTGGATTTTTTTTATAAGAATCTTGTAATTATATTACACATATTAAGAAAATTGAGAAGTAATTAATATAATATTTTTAAAAATTAATTATATTATTTCAAGTTTTACTCAAAGTCAAACTCTATCGTTACATTGATTGTTAAGAAGTTAGACAAAATCATTAATGAAAGATAAATATGTAAATAACAATAAATACTTTAAAAATTTTGTAAAGGAACTAACAAAGATTACTATAAAAAGAATCGAAGGGATTTGTTAAATTTTTTGGCCTTTTTAATTTCTTCTTTCACTGAACAAATAAATAGGAATGAGAGAGTAATGTGTTAGAAATTTATATTTTTATAACAATAAATAAAGGAAATAATTAAAGAATTATAAATATAAAAAAACAAAAGAATGAATATTATTCATTCTTAATTGTACTTGTATTTATAAGCAATGTGTGAGTAAGTTTAAAAAATTATAAAGGTTGGCCATAGATATAGTTACCCTATTTTTACGATATAGGGTAATTATATTTAATCTCTCTAAACAATTTATTTTCGAAAAAATAAACATAATTCTTAATAGTCAAGTAAATAAATTATAGTATATTTAATATGGATAGTGGTTTGTTATGTAAGAGGATAACATCAAAGATTAATTTTGTTATTAGTAATTGAAATTACTCTTTTTTTTCTTTAGAGATGATTCGCTTTAATGAAATAAAAGTGTTAGCAAGTGATTGACTAAAATTTTTAAAAAATTATAAAGAACAAAAACATTAAATTGATGATTGAAAAAATTTTTATAAATTTTTATAAAAATTTTCAATAAATTTTAATGATTAACTAAAATTATGTTTAAAGAAAGTGTATTAAAGAACATATTACTAACATTTTTTTATAACATAACTACATAAAAATAAAAAAAATAAAAAAACACACCTACGAAATAATAAGTTTCTTGACTTTAGATGGACGTGAGAACTGTTGTTATGAATGTTTTTAGCTGTTGGTGGAACACACAGAATATTCTTGTAAGAAAACACTTGAATGCTCAACACAGAGAAAATGTTCTCCTAATGATTCAGATGAACATACATGAGATTTTGGAGCTTCGTTTTGTATAGGTGATCGTTATATTGAAATTAGTTGTTTGGTTAATTACGTGTAAGAGAAGTTATTTGATAGGACTGTACATTTATTGGGGAATTTAAGTGACTAAGTCCTCTACTAATACAAGTTAGATGCGTGGTTTATGCTTCTGTTAGTAGAGGACTTGGAAGAGCCTGGTTGGATCCGATGATGTTCGATTTGGACAGTTCAAAGTGGTTCACTCCAGACAGAGAAAGTGAGGTTCAGATTTTGGCCCTAGTATTGCTGGTGCACTGGTTCCAGTCGTTTAATCACCATCAATTATGTTCACTTACTATTAAAAAAACCAAAAAATAAAAATAATTAAACTTTGAAAAATTCAATTATTTTGTGATTGAATATTTTTGAAACTTTTCCTTAATCTTTGATAAAACTTTAATGTATTTGCAGAGATGTTGTGATGGAATACTCAAAACAAATAAGGGCCTTGGGGTTCAAAATCTTTGAGCTATTCTCAGAGGCTCTTGGCCTTAATCCTTCTTACCTTAATGAATTGGACTCTGCCAATGGACAATTTATTTTGTGTCACTACTACCCTGCATGCCCTGAACCCAAATTAACTCTGGGCACTTCAAAACACACTGATGGTGACTTCATGACAATTCTTCTGCAAGACCAAATTGGTGGTCTTCAAGTTCTTCATGAGAATCAATGGATTGATGTTCATCCAGTGCACGGATCTCTTGTTGTAAACATTGGGGATTTTCTACAGGTAACTTTATATATTCATCATATCTCCTTTTTTATGTTTAAGTGATAACACAACTTCTAATTAATGATTGATTATATTTATCGATCTCCTTTTGATTGGCGCAGCTTATAACAAATGGCATGTTCAGCAGTGTCTATCATAGGGTCCTAGCGAGGCATATAGGCCCAAGAATTTCAATAGCAAGCTTTTTTGTGAACGTATCACCAAATGGTTCATCGAAGGCTGTTGGTCCAATAAAGGCGTTGTTGTCAAAAGAAAATCCACCAATCTATAGGGACACTACAGTGAAAGATGTCATGACACATTATTTTGATGAAAAAAGCTTTGATGGGAGCACATCCTTGAAGACTTTCATGTTGTGAAGTAAATATTGAGAATTAGATTGGAGTATTCTTGGAAGTTTATTACTTTAGAGATGGTTATAGTATTTATTTTATCATGGTTAACCTGTACTTTTGACTATGAAATTCAGTAAATACTTAAATAAGTTGTTTATTTTTAAAAAAATCAATCTTTATAAAAAAATTTATTTATTTTTAGTTCTTAAGAATTACAAAAATTATATGTTTCTAGTCCTAGTTAAAGGACTAAAAATATGTTACTTTGTTACATATAGAGGAAAAAATAGTTGTGTTATCCTTTGAACGTATCTTGTGATCAAATGATATAATTATGAAAGTGGAACCATAAAATCACTAGCATGGAATTTGGTAAACTTGACTGTCTCTAAATTTTTAAAAACGAAGATGTTGGTATAAGTGGTTTTTAATGACTTTCTGACATGATACATGCACTGTGGAATCATGTAATTTTACATTAAATAAATGGTTATTTGTTAAGAATTTGAGATCACTTTTGAGTTAATACTATTTCACAAAGACATTCCTTTTTTTTCTTTTTTATGCGATTATTAAATCTTTACATTTTTTACTTCACTAAACTTTATTTGTCTACTTGATTTTGTTTTTCATAATTGAAGGGAAAAAATGAAAATAAAAATAGTTGGGACTGGTAGATAGTTATAATTATGCTCAAAGACTTTTTAATCACATTAAAACACAGCCAAAACATAGTAATCAACGTAAATATTTTAAAGTTAAAAAAAATTATTGTTATTATCTACGGACAAAAAACAATAACATAATGTGAAATTTTTATAACATATAATTTTTTTTTATAATTACGTGATAACTTTAAGTGAAGTGAACATTCAAATATAATACTCTATTACAAGAATATAAGAAAAAAAAGTCTGATACAAACTTAAAATACTTTTTATTTATATATCTCCAAACAAAAGTTTAAAGTAATATATATTATCAGATTAAAAAACACTTTGTATGTTTTTCTTTATTATTTATACTATTCATTATATTTATTAATTTTTGAAGAAATACTTTTTTTAGTTTTTCAAATTATAAACTTTAATTACTTTAACTTTATAAAAAAAATTATTTTTTAATTTTACAAAATAATATTTATTTATTTTTTATGAAAAATAACAATAAAATTTGTATTTGAATTCTCGCTAATAATTTTGGGAGATTAGAATCAACGTTTCCTCGTTGTTTCTTTCTTCGCATCTTATCTTTGTTGGATGTCTGCACCGCTTATTAGCACCTGAAAATGGATGTCACCGGCGCCGGTAATTCTTTCGCCGGAAGTTCCGCTACTTATGACCGTTTGCAAGAACTGAAGACCTTCGATGAATCAAAATCTGGTGTAAAAGGCCTCGTTGACTCCGGCATCACAAAACTCCCACGAATTTTCATCCGGTCGCCGGAAGATCTCGCCGGCGACACTCCGATTTCCGGCGAACCCACCCAGACCCAGTTCAGAATTCCAGTAATTGACCTCAAAGGCGTCGCCGGAGACCTCTCCGACGCGGTTGCCAGCGTCCGGCAGGCGGCGGAAACGGTTGGGTTCTTTCAGGTGGTGAATCATGGAATACCCATGAAGCTGTTGGAGGAGGTGGTGACGGCGGCGCGTAAGTTTCACGAGCTGCCTCAAGCATTGAAGGGTGAGTATTATAGCAGAGAGTTGATGAAGAAGGTGAAGTATGTTAGCAATTTTGATTTGTATCAGTCAAAGTATGCTAATTGGAGAGACTCTCTTTTTTGTGTGATGGGTCCTGAACCTCTTGATCCTCAAGAATTGCCTCCCATCTGTAGGTAACTTTGGACTTTCAATGTTGAATTTTTTTTATCTGTGTATGAACCAAGCTTCACTGCCATGCGATTGAAATTGCAGTTTTGATATTTGAATTACTAAAAATTCACTTAGTGACATGGTATATAGTTGTTTATATCTCTCTGTTTTTTCTTATACATTCAAAATATGAAAAAAGTCACTCTTAAGTGTCTCTCTAAGTGGTACATTAACCATTTCCTTTGAGATTATTTACTCAACCATTTTTTATCCTAATGTATAGGTTAGGAATCAAGAAAATATAAGTTTTCAAAATTATTAATGCTTTTTCTGTTATTGATGTATTGAGTCATTTCCTTTCTAATAAATTTTTTCTTGATCTTTTAATCTATTGAGATTATTTATTATTTGTGACAGTTTTTTTCATCCTATGCACTTAATGTATAGGTTTGGAGTCAAAATAAATAGGTAATGTGTAATGAATTCTGTCCCTTCTAACTAGTTTTTTTTATTCTTGACCCTTTAATTTATACACAAGGTGTATATGATAGGATTGAAAAATTGAATTCACAATTATGGATTTATGTAAAATTGAAAAGAAAAATGTAATTCATACACTTTCGCTATATATACCAAGTATGAAATAAAAAGAAAAGAGAATAAAAGATGAGATAGGCGATGTAATGTGATAAGAGAGAGATAGAAAGGAAAAAATAAAGTAGAAGAGTACTAAAGATAATATGCAGGGGATATGAATATCATTGTTGAATTGAAAATTGAAAATGGAAAAGGTAATTTTTGGTTCCTTAAAAGTCTTTTATTTATTTTATTTATTTTATTTTTTTGGTGATTTGACCTAATTTGTAGGGATGTGACAATGGAATACTCAAGGCAAGTTCAGGCATTGGGGAGGGTTTTGTTTGGATTATTATCAGAAGCACTTGGACTCAAACCTGATCATCTTGAAGGCATGGATTGTGCAAAAGGCCACTCAATTTTATTTCACTATTATCCACCATGTCCTGCGCCTGAACTAACTATGGGCACTACAAGACACTCTGATCCTGATTTCCTTACAATTCTGCTTCAAGATCACATTGGAGGACTCCAAGTTTTAAGCCACAACGGATGGGTTAATGTTCCTCCTGTTCCTGGAGCTCTAGTAGTAAACATTGGGGATTTGCTACAGGTAAAACTGTTCCTTTTTCCCCTTTCACTACTCACAATGAATGAAATATACAAAGAGTCTGGTGCTAGATTTGCTTAATTTCTTGCCACCGAATGAAATTCCATATGATTAGAATATATGACTGGTACTTGGTCACATTGTACAGTTTGATCATTCCAAATCTAAATGTCAACCATATAATATTGATGTGAATTAATTGCATTACATTCATCAGATGAATAATTTGCAGAAATTCTTTTATCATCCACAACTTCTATATAGTTCATCTTAATACAAGTCCAGGTTATGTAGAGTTCTTCAGAATACAGTATTAAGCATATCCTTGCCTTATCCTTGTAATCTTCAACTTGGTAGAATAAAATTTTGAGCATTACTTGCATCATCATTATACTTTCACTGTTTTTCCTGTGAATTAATGTGTATATAAGGATTAGGCACCAATTGCAATGATTGGATAATAAGGCTCCATGGGGTAGATGTCGATGAACAATGGAGTATGTCAGCGTAATTTTCTGGACTAAGGATTGATCCTGACTTTTCTTGCTGGCTTGTCACACACAATTTTGCCTTTGTGTGTTTGCATGCGTGTGAATTCAATTATTGGTATAAAGACATTTTTGGCTGAAAGTGGATTTTATGTTGCAAAATTGCAGCTAATATCCAATGACAGATTCAAAAGTGTGGAGCACCGTGTACTTGCAAACCATATTGGACCTAGAGTATCGGTGGCATGCTTTTTCACTCTTCATCTCTACCCAACAACAAGAATGTATGGGCCCATCAAGGAACTATTGTCAGAAGATAACCCCCTAGTTTATAGGGAAACATCACTGAGAGAATTTATTGCTTACTATGATAACAAGGGACTTGATGGGAATTCAGCTCTTGCCCATTTTATGATTTCACAGTAAATAAGGAAGTGTAAATCTAATTATTTATTTGCTTTCACAATCAGTTCTTAATTTGTCATAAATGGCAATGATCATGAATCTAACGAGCATGACAACCGATTACAGACATGAAATTGAATGTAAAACTATGCTACACTTTGACACAAAATATCTTGTATATAAGAGAAATCCACCTCAAATTTTTAGCTTCCAACTGCAAATCTGCTTGTTGGTGTTTCCTAATTTTATGATTATTTATTGCCTTTAGATAGTAGTTGTCTACATTCATTTGCTTTATATATGGAAGCAATTAATCATGATGGGTATTTTAGCATGCAAAATTTGCAGTTTGTAATTTTATTGCTAGAAACTACTTGGTAGCAATTAAAGAAGTGGTAATGGCATTTTCTTCATTGACTCGTTGTCTCGATCTTTTCCACTGCTAATCATGAATGATAAGTTTCTTGAAATCCATGCACGACAGGTTCAATGAGTTTCAGTAGCATTCTTTATCACAATGAGAAATTTGGCTTGTTTGTTGGTTGTTTGTAAACTCTCGAATGACGATAAAGTGCGAAAATTTTATTCTGTTTGTAAACTATAATTCTTTTAATTTGTAGAAAACAATCACCAAGGCAATGAACTTTTCTTAATTTTGAAGGTGTTAGTTATGTAGTTCAGGTATCGATAGCTACACCTACAGTTGATTATCAGATTTAATTTTCGTTTCAGTGAGAGGAGTTCTTGACTCCCATTCATTTTCATTTCTGTTTCATTTTTGTGGGCTATTGGTTTAGTATACGTCAAAACATCTTATGCTGTAATGATTTGTGTTATCAATAGCATATGCATTTTGTGGGAAGCTTCACTTGAATTTGACGTAGCTAGTATTACTGTTTAAAAATCTCTTCATTACACTTTTAATCCTGAAGTTAGTGGTGTCAAATTGGGCTTAACTTGTGTTGTGGGGTTCATTTTTTATTTTTAAAATTTTTAAATATAATTATTTATTAATTAATATTAATTTTTATTAATATAAAAATTTCTTTTATTATTTTTATCTATTTTTTGTTAATTTTAAGTGGACTAACCCATTAATTCATTGATTTACTATTTTTTTTTTCCATTAACATAACTGCATTGAAATTCAAACTTAAAATCACAAAATAAGTTAAAATAACTTTCGTTAGTTAATTCATATATTTAGTAGTAATTTGAATTAATTTAAATATAATATAAAAATAATTAATATTATTTAATATGTGTCTAATGGCACACATTAAGAAGTTAAAAATAAAATAATTTTATTGATATAAAAAAGTATTATCTCAAAATTATAAAAAAATTATTTAATACATACTTTATTAAAATTTAAAAAATTTAATAAAATATATTTAATATTTTAACATATACTTTTGAGCACAATTAAAGAAATTATCCACATTTTATATTGTCATGAATTATCAAATAAAATTTTAAGTTTAAATAAAAAAATAAAAATTACACCTAAATTTTATGGAAAGTTATAGAATTTTATTAGTCCAATGTTTACTGTAATGGAGAAAAAGAATATTTTATTTATTGTTGTATAATTCTTCGGTATGTTTTTTTCATTCATTTTTTATTTTTTTTAATGATATCATTTATCATATTATTTGTTTATTTTTTTATTATAATTATCTCTTTTCTTAATTATTTAACATTCAAATATTGAGTCTCGACATATATTTTTTAACTTTAAATATTATTTTATTCCCTATATGAAATTAATTTTTTATTTGATTTTTATACAATATTTTAAAAAATAAGTCCATAAACAAGAAAATATTTTAAAAATAATATTGATTGTTAACTTTTGTTGAACCATTATCTCATATTTAAATATTTTTTTATTTTGATTTTTATATATAATACACTCCTTTTTCATTGTAGTGCTTAGGATAAAATTTTTATTTTAGCAATGAAAAAAAATCAACTATAAGGATTAAAAAAAATGTTCAGTAAAAGAATAAAAAAAATTATATAAATGTCAAAATAAAAATTATCACTAAATAAAAGTTGAAAATTGTTATAGTGATTTATGATAAACTTTAAAAAGATAATTAAATTATTTTAAATATTATCATTGTAACTTAACGAAAGATTATTACGAGTAAGTGGTGTCTGTAATCTAAGCAAAATGTATTTTGCTTTTATTCATTACAACGAATTACATGGAGAGAATGCAAACTAAGTTTTAAGTGCTAAATCCATTCTTTTGCTTCTTTTTTTTTTATATACTCAAGAGAACAGTGACAACCCCCTCTTTAGTTTTGTTCTTCTGTAACGCCATGTCTTACTCTAATTATGAACAAAATTTAAATATAGTCATGCAACATCTTTAATTAAAATAACAATTTTACCTCAATGACTAATATAATAAAAGTCAGATTAAAGGTTGATGCTAATTTTATAAATTAATATTTAATTTTAATTAGAGAAAAGTGTAAAAAAATATTTAAAATATTACGTATAAGTTTTATTAACAATCTCTTAAGTAATTTTTTTAAAATATCAAGAATATAATATTATTTTTTCTTTACCAAATTCTCATATATCAATATTTTATAATTACATTTTTAAAAGTTAGTAAATAACCTTTTTAACTTATTATAAATCATTCTAACCTCTTTAAAATTGTTTCAATAGTGAGTTTTATTTTTATTTCTATATATAACACTTTTTTTAACATGTTATTTCTTATATATAACATTTTATTATTATTATCTTTATATGTAACTTATTCTTTTATTTTAATCTTTATAAATTTTTTTAATAGGCACCAGAATAAAAAGTGTATTATGTACAAGAGTTATAATGGAAAAAATGTATTATAGAGATTAAAATAAAAATATTTAATTATAAAATAATAATGTTATACAAATGTTAACAAAAAAGACTTTCAAAATATTTTTGTTTACAGAAATCAAATAAAAATATGAATTTCATGTAAACTAAAATAATATTTTAACTTTTTTTTTTACAAATTTTAACTTTAATCTCTAAAATATTTAACGTGACAAAAGTTAGACATTTAAATTTAAAATTTTAATTCTTAAAATTAATAAATATCAATTATTTTGGTCATTAATATTAAGAGATGGTAAAATTAATTAACAGAATAATTATTAGTCATTTTAAGTAATACATATTAAAATACAGAACAATATTATTTTAAAATCTTCAAAAAATAATTCACTTTCATTATTGATTTAAGAGTAATTTTTTTTTTACTTTATCTTTTTCTCCAATCATCTTCCTTTAATCATTAAAAACTATCTTTTTGTTGTCATTTGGGTTAAAGGGTTGCTGAACATCTTCCTCCCATATTTCTCAAGGTTTGCAATGAGTCATTTTGCTATTATCAATATTTTTTTCTTTATCTCCTTTATCATCAACCTCTAACGAAATTGTCAAAAAGTAAAAAAAAAGATGAAGTCAATATATATTGAAAAAGATTTTCTAACATTAATATAAATTTAAAACTCTTATTTTTTATCTTAATTTTTTATTTAATTATTTAATCTTAATTTTTTATTTAATTTATATCTAACGGTCAGTAAAGTAATAAATTATAACTTATTAGATATAATTTAAATTAAAGATTCAGATCTAGTATAAAAATTTTAAACTTATACTAGCGTGAAAAGATCTTGCACCATATATATATATATATATATATATTATATTCAAAAATCAAAAATAAATTATTTATGATAAATTTTAAAATAATATTATTTTATATTTAAAATAAACTTTTAAATTTGTTACTTAACGTGACAAATTATTATTATATTATTTAATTTTAATATTTGTGAAAAATAAAGACTAAATTAATTATTAATTATTAATTTCAAAGACTAACCATTCAAATTTTAATTTTAAAAAATTGATTTGAATGCTTTGTATCTTAGAGACCAGGGAATCTACTACTTAATTTTTATCATCGTAATAAATAACACGTTAGGTCGAAGAGCATGTTACAAAAGCGCATGAAAAATATTAATATAAGGAAAGCAAAGTGTTGAAAGTGAAAAACAAGCGAGGCAGGAATCGAAGCAGGTGTAGTAGAAGACAATGGCAACAAATTACGACCGTTTGCAAGAACTGAAGGCCTTCGATGAATCCAAAGCCGGCGTTAAAGGCCTCGTTGACTCTGCCATAACCCATGTTCCACGGATTTTCATACGCCCGCCGGAAGACCTCGCCACCGACACCCCAATTTCCGGCGAACCCACCCACACCCAGTTCACGATTCCCGTCCTCGACCTCGCCGGAAAACTCTCCGACGTTGTTGCCGGAGTCCGGCTGGCCGCGGAAACGGTGGGGTTTTTCCAGGTAGTGAATCATGGAGTGCCAGCGAAGGTGTTGGAAGAGATGGTGGCGGCAGCGCGTGGGTTCCACGAGCTGCCACAAGCGTTGAAGGGTGAGTATTATACAAGAGAGAAGAATAAGAAGGTGAAGTATGGAAGCAACTTTGATTTGTATCGATCAAAGTATGCTACTTGGAGAGACACTCTTTTTTGTGTTATGGGTCCAGAACCTCTCCATCCACAACTATTGCCTCTTGTTTGTAGGTAATTTCACAATAGAATTTACAGTGTTTTATTCAGTTTATTTAAAATAACAATAATTTTAGCAAAATAAACATTTTCTTTTGGTTTTCTAAACACATCTTCCTGGAGTGTTAATTTTATGTTTTACATATATACAAAGTTCATGTAAAAAGCTTGCAAACTAAAATGTGTAGATATTACTTACTCGGGGTTCGAGGATGGCAAAATTACTTGGAATATTTGCTGGTGAAAATCTCTTAAGGTTAATTTAACGTATATATTTATATATATATTTACAGGTTGAATTAAATATTTTTGTTCTAATTGTTTATTAATGGGGTAGGTGTGAATATTAAAATAATTGTTTATAATATAAAGTTACTTTAAATTAGGTTATTTTAAAGATTTTTTATATTTTTTCTTTTAATAAATATTTACAAATATTTAGGGATATCTGCGAATAATAATGAATTTTTTTAAAAAAATTAATAGATACCTACACAGAAGTATGGAAGGAGTGCATGACATATTTCTCCCTGAGGGTTACTATACCAAAATTATCAACTTTCAAATAAGTTCATGGAACCAATTTGTATAAATGAAAAATTTTGGGGACCAAAGTAATGTGACTAACGTCTTTAAGTTTCATTCCCAACCTGTATATTTACTGTTGTGCAAATTCTATAACTTTCCATAAGATAACGTGCCACAATTAGCATTTGTTTTTACAGACTCAGCATCTATCACCAGGAGAAATCTAGCATTATTTTTTGAATTTGTGGACTAATATGATGTAGGAAAAACAACTGATTTGGTAAAAAGAAATAATAGTTAACCCTTCATTCTATAAACTGTATAAATTTACAGGGATATAACAATAGAGTACTCAAGGCAAGTTAAGGTATTGGGGACCCTTTTATTTGCATTACTATCAGAAGCACTCGGACTAAAGTCTAACCATCTTCAAGGCATGGATTGTGCAAAAGGCCACTCAATTCTTATTCACTATTATCCACCATGTCCTGAGCCTCATCTGACTCTAGGCACAAATAGACACTCAGATCCTGGGTTCCTCACTGTTCTTCTACAAGATAACATTGGTGGGCTACAAATTTTGACCCAAAATGATCAATGGATCGATGTTCCCCCTATTCCTGGAGCTCTAGTAGTAAACATTGGAGATATGCTACAAGTAAGTTCATTATTTTCTTTCCCCTTTCACTATTAAAAACAAAAGAAATATTTCAATTCACAATGATGTAGGGCTAGAATTATTCACATATTTCCAAAATGAAGTCTACTATGGCCTAAATTCAAGGAAAGAAAATAATATATACATGGTTATCAAAATGCCTTGCACACTGTAAAAGTCTCCATAGTGCATAGTACCATGTATTCACAAATCTAATTGGTATGAAGCTTTCTACAATCGGTTCCTTAATCTAAGCAGAACACATCGCATGGTTTCATCATTTTAAATCTCAATATATATATCTGTGAATTTATTCATTACTCCATATGTGTAATTTAGAAGGTCAAATATGTAGAAGCATATATCAAAGAGTATACTTAACAATGTTTGCAGGTTGTTTTGTAAAAACAAAATCAAGATTCAACAGTCCATTAATGGTACATATCCTTAACCTTAAGACCCTCAACATAATGAAACATATTTTGACTTTTGAGCATGACAGAAACAAACATTTGTGACAAAAAAACAAGACCATGTCCTTGTTGATAAGTTCTGAGAGCAGAATTTTAGTTGTTCTAATATTAGGTCTTGTTCCAAACATTTGATATTTGATTAGTTTTAAGCATCAATTGCAATGTTTCTTAAACAAGGCATAGTTGAATAAACTTTTGGATAAGTATTTATACGAGAAGAAATATACAGGTAAAAAGAATTCTTTTAAGATCAAAATCATATTATGCACTTTTAACTGGAGGGACAATTAAATAAGAAATTCTAAAAAACTAAATTACTTAAATTAATTTTAATTTATGAAAAAAATTTAATTCATTTTACTTCTTTTTTTTCTTTTATAAATACTTAATAATTAGTTTATCTGAATTAAATTTAAGTCTCAGCAGGATAGAAGCAGGTGAACATTAGAGTCTGTCATGGAATCATCAATATTCTCACGACTAAAGTTTTAGTCCTGCCCTTTCTTGATAGTCAGTCATATGGAACAATGATCTACTCATGTGGCTGAGAGTTAAAAGCTTATGAACAACTATGTGTCTAGGTTTCAAGGGTCTACGTTTGTATTCATGCATGTGGATTCAGATATTGTTGTAAACAAATATTTGGCTAAATGAATTTCATGTTGCCATATACCACAGCTTATATCCAATGGCCAATTTAAAAGCGTGGAGCATCGTGTTGTGGCAAACCATAAAGGGCCTAGAGTATCCATTGCATGCTTTTTCACTCTTGACAACTACCCATCTGAAAGAATGTATGGGCCCATCAAGGAATTACTGTCACAAGACAAACCCCAAGTGTATAGGGAAACATCATTGCAAGATTTCAATGCTTACTATTACAGTAAGGGACTTGATGGGAATTCAGCTCTTAAGCATTTTATGTTACAGCAATAAATATTAAGGTGTGAATTTGGTTATTTATTGGTCTTCCATGATCAGTTCTTAATTTAGAATTAATCGTAAGCATCATGCATCTCACTGAAACGAGTGAGATCAATAAGGCATAGGGATAATGTTAACAATCATTTAAGTTTACGAGATAATATTGTTTTTTACATTTGGGGCAAACTGCCAGATAGATAGATACTCTACTAAATATTATTTGGTGTTTTGTTTTTGTTTTTGACAACACTTAATCATAATTTCTTAGCTAGTTCGAAATATCCTTACAAGTGTAACTTATTCTTCATATAGAGAATGTTCATTTCAGAAAATAAAGAAAATCAAACAGATTCTCAAACATTAAAAATAGTCCAGCATTATTAAGATTTATGTGAATTATATTTAAATTATAAAAGAATATATTTATTATATTTTTTAAAAAAATTACTTTTAATTTTTTACTCATGTTCTAAAAATATTAATTAACATTTGTTAATAATTAATAATTATATAATAATATTTATATTGATAGTATTTATTTTAATATTATATTTAGAGTGTTAATTTTAATTTTTAAAATTGAGTTTAAGTATGTACAAATAAAAAAATTTATAAAAAAATACATAGTTATTACATTAAAATTATAAAAATATAATAAATATTATTTTTAATAAAAATTTATTATTATTAACTGGTTATCCTCCTCGTTAGACGTTAGGAAGGATTAAGATTAATAAAAATTCTTATATTTAAAATTGTTTTGTTTCAACAATGACATGTTACCAAAAACAGAATAAATAAAAGGCATATCCACTAACAGAAATGGGTAATAGAAAAAAGCTAAATAAAATCATAGCACACACATCAACAATGGATGTCGCCAGCGCCGGAAAATCTCAAGCTGGAAATTCTGACTACGACCGTTTACAAGAACTGAGGGCCTTCGACGACTCCAAGGCCGGCGTCAAAGGCGTCGTTGACGCCGGCATCACCAAAGTCCCGCAGATTTTCCTCCGGCCGCCAGAAGATATCGCCACCGACGAACCAATTTCCGGCGAAAGGACTCCGACCCAGTTCAGGATTCCCGTAATTGACCTCAAAAACGTTGCCGGCGACCGCTCCGGCGTGGTCGCCGGAGTCCGGCTAGCGGCGGAAGCGGTGGGGTTCTTCCAGGTGGTGAATCACGGAGTACCCGTTAAGCTGTTGGACGAGATGGTGGTGGCGGCGCGTGAGTTTCATGAGCTGCCGCTAGAGTTGAAGGTGGAGTATTATAGTAGGGACATGAAGAAGAAGGTGAAGTATAGGAGCAACTTTGATTTGTATCAGTCCAAATATGTTAATTGGAGGGACACCCTGAAATGTGTCATGGCACCTGAACCTGTTGAACCTCAAGAGTTTCCTCCAGTTTGTAGGTAATTTTAGATTTTAGATTCATAATTTTATTTTTCAGAAAAGAAAAATATAAATTATGTGTTGGTAAAGTTTAACGGATATAAGTACTTTTGTTCTTGGCTTGCTGGTTATCTACAACTTAAATAGTGTGTATATTTCATGTTTAAATTAGTAAGGGTTTATGGTTCTTTGAAGAAAAAAAAAATGAATGAATGGTTGTGGGATATCATAAGTATTAAATAAATGTAATACTAGAAGAAGAATTTAGGGAAAGGGAATTGTGAAGATTTTTTATAAGAATCCTTTGGTTTCTTATACCTAGAAGTGAGGCTTGGCCAAAGTACACTAGCTCAAGATGTATCAAGTTTCTTTCGAGATTAATTGATCAAATATCAAATTCCATCGAGGTGATTTTAATTTCAGGTCAAAAGATCTCTATGTAGATTTTGATTATAAACTATTCTGAATTCAATATAAGTTAACACACTCAGGTTACTTTACATTTACAAGATTATATATGTATTTGAAGAGTAAATGGGGTGTAGTTTGAGAGTTTGTGAACTAACATGATTTTGGAAAGGTGGAAAGAATATTTGGGTATTCATTATGGATAATGATCTGAGTTACTCTAATTTGCAGGGATGTGATAATAAAGTTCTCAAAGCAAGTTCAGACATTGGGGAACCTTTTATTTGAATTTTTATCAGAGGCACTTGGTCTCAATCCTAACCATCTTAAGGATATGGATTGCACAAAGGGACACTTACTTCTATGTCACTATTATCCCTCATGTCCTGAACCTGAACTAACTATGGGCACTAGCAGACACTCAGATCCTGACTTCCTCACAATTCTGCTTCAAGACAACATTGGTGGACTCCAAGTTTTGCACCAAAATCAGTGGATCGATGTTCCCCCTATTCCTGGAGCTCTTGTTGTAAATATTGGAGATGTTTTACAGGTAAGTCTTAAAAATATTTCAATTCATTATCTATCCTCCACTATACACTGTTATAGATATATGATAAAAAAATCTCATATTGGTGAGTTAACAATAAATTAAAGGATCGTTATAATATGATCTGATTCAAATTACTAGCACATGCACACACATTAAGTGGTGGTGAAAATTAAAATTCGTCACCATTTGGAACTTGTATGCAAAAATATAGCATAAGCTTTCTTGTACTTACCTTGTAGGCAAAACACGTTGCATAGTTTCATTAATATAGCTATCTTGGTCACTATACAAATTGTGAGCAATTTGCACAGTAATATTTCAGGTTGTGAGCATTCCCTTCTCCATTTTTTTTTTCTTTATTCAAATGTGCATAACCAGCGGTCCACTGTTGGCCTTAACTGTATGCTACTATGCTTGTCCTTAAGAACTCAACTTTGTGAAAAGCAGAATTTTGAAACCAGATCCATGCCATGACATGGATGGAATTATTTTCACGGCTGAGCCAACATGTGGTGTTTGGAAGCACTTATGGAAAGTTTATTTCAATAAAATTTATAGTATAATCTCTCATGTAATAAAAACTAATTAAATTAGTGATCAATTAATCTGTTTACTAACATAGGCTGCAACTGACTTGCTCACATTATCATTCTATTTCTGTTACTCTTGTTTTGAATATTATGTTGTTTTAATAAATTGATACTTTCTTAGTAGTAATCATCAATTTCACACTTCCATTGAGTCAATAATAGGGGTCAAATGTAGATGAACATTATAGCCTCAACATGAATATCCGCAGGACTGAAAATTAGAGAGTTATGAAAAAAGAGTTCGGCTGAATATTGGAACTAACGTTGGCATATACTGCAGCTGATATCCAATGACAAATTTAAAAGTGTGGAGCACCGTGTTCTGGCAAATCATAGAGGGCCTAGAGTATCAATTGCATGCTTTTTCACTCTTGATCACTGTCCATCCACAAGAATATATGGCCCTATCAAGGAATTATTGTCAGAAGATAATCCTCCATTGTATAGGGAGATATTATTGCAAGACTTCAATGCTCACTATAATAACAAAGGACTTGATGGGATTTCAGCTCTTGCCCATTTTAAGTTACAAAGATAGATGTTGAAGAGAAAAACTAGAGTTAATCCACATGTAGTTCTAAAAATAAGGTGCCAGCATCATGCATATGTATTTGACTCATACAAACAAGTAATAAAGATATGTTAAGTGATATAAACAAGATTGAGATTTTATTGCCTCTGCTGTTTTTTTTTTTTTTTCCTATTTTTGTCTTCACTGTATGTGAAAACAATGTACTTAAATCAGTTTTATCTCATATAGGTAAATAATATGGAAAACAATGTTATTAACTGGATATAAAACTAGGCATTATTGCGTCTTCCCCTAATAGAGCTTTTGGATTAGTTGAAATTTCATTTACCCCGATTTTTTAAAATTGCATTAAATGTCTACTTTAAAATATTTTTATGTAGACAAACTTTGTAGCAGAGGTGAACAATTATGAATAAGCCTTTCAAAGGCTGACTCTTGCAATTTTCAATGCCTTAGCCACTGATTTTGAACAATACTATCATTTATGGAACATAAAATAAAATTTAAAATATCATTATTGATTACAAGCTTTGTGAATTTATTGAATATCATTATTTCATATTCAAAAAAATATAAAATTCGTTGACAATGATGCTTGAAATAGTGAAGAGAGATAAATAGTTCTAAGAAGTTTGTTTACTTTAAATTTGACTAAAGTGCGATATTTTCCAACAATTTAAAACAAGGTGTAATATAAGCATGTTTTTAACACTGTAACATCAGCATTGAAATGGAAGAAAGTGCAATTTACCCAAAAACATTATCTATTTGTTGAATGGATTGCGTGCAGAGTTGTGCATAGAGTTCGGCATATTTTGGAGCAAGTGAAATAAGGTCGAGTAACTAGATACAGTATTAAGGAAGCAGTATGTAAATTAATTTTTCAAAAAATGTAATTCATACAATATGAAGAAAATAATTTACTTAAATTTTCATTTTTAAATTAGAGTATTTTTAAGGTTCATCTTTAACGAGAGAGTAATTTTAGATGTTAATTAATCTTTTATTATGCCACATGACATTGTATGCATTAAATACTTAATTTTTTTAAATCAACCTTAATTTATTTTTTCTAAAATATTGTCATAATTTATTTTTAATTTAAAACTTTGATATATTTCATGTAATTTTATTTAACATGATATAATATTTATTATTAATTATTTAATTATTTATTTTAAAAATTTATAAATAACTATAAAATATATTTTAAATTTATATTTAAAAAATTATTTAAATTTAAGAGGTTATTTCATTTTTCAATTCTGTCTCAATTATTCAAATTAAAAGCAGTGACAAACGGTTAACTAATAATAATAACTAATAATAAATATTATTATTATTATTATTATTTGTGTATGAAATTTAATTTATTTGGTTTACGACTTTCAAACAAGCAGTTAGATTAGTAAGTTTTATATTTTATGAAAAATTTATTAAATTAGATAAATATTAAAGTTTAACACGAGTTTTAGCAACTTCACTCATATATATAAAGCCAGTTAAAGAAGAGGGAACCAATAATTCTAATATCCATCGATTTCGCAAGCACTTGCAAGTTCCAATAGACTAGTTCAAGTTAGATTCATACATCTTTGTAAGTGGTATGATATGAAGATTATTTATCTGTGGGCATTAAATGAGTGGTTTTGAACTTTAGAGGCAAAGACAGTGAGTGTATCAAACAATTGTCATTTATTATTTAATAACGTGATATATTATTGTTTGGGGAAAAGAATTTTTTTAAAGTTAAAAAGTCATTTCCAAACTTTTGTAGTAGAAAATAGGTTATCTCTAAGATTGGTGGAATAGACACATCTTTCCACTAAAATCAAAGAGAACCTTAAGTTCCTATATCCTTTCGAGTCATGAACTAGTAAAAAAATTTAAGTCTTAAAATTTTGTTGAAGGAACTTTTTCTTAACACGTTTCTATGAATATTAGTAGAGGAGCCTCATTTTACACAAAAAAGGGAGTCACATTTCTAGGAGTTTCAGAGTTTTTAGGAAGGCTTCAAGTTTTGACTAAAGAATGAGGAATATTTCAAGAAGTTTTAAAGGATCATATGAAAAGTCTCATTGTTTGTCAAAAAGAAAGTTATATTTGCAGGAATTTTGAAGGGTAGTGAGAATAGTCTTATTTTTTGTAAAAAAAAAAAAAGAGTTGTATTTCAAAGAATTTTTGAAAATTTTGAGTCCTAGATTTAAAACATTCATAACTAGTTGAAAAAGAAAGAGTCTCTCACAGATATTCCTTAAAACTTGTCGAAACATAAATTGATAAGAAAAATTATTTTAAATCCAAAAAATAGAGTGGAGTTCACAAATTTTTCTTAAAATTTATTGAAAAAGAATTTGACAAGGGAATTACTCCGAGTTCAAGAGACAAGGTGTAACTTACGTATTTTCTTTAAAAACTTATCGAAAAAGAAATTAACACGAGAATTACTCTAAGTCCAAGAGATAAGATAGAGCTCAAAAGGTGAAGAAACATATTGAAAAAAGTATAAGATTTGAAGTAACTGTCAAAATAGTAGTTATCACCGGTTGAAGTCAGAAACATGAAGAACAGATCATGCTTACAGTTAAGGTACGATCGCAAGCAGTTATGGATAATGGGTGACAACAGTTAAAGATAAGTACATGCATAAGGCAGTTATCAAGAAACCAACGAAAGAAGGATGCTCAAATTCTGCACTAAGCTAGACATTAGCTACCAAGAGATTCACGATTGTTGTTGTTCAATGGCAGAGTTGTACGTTATATTTTTATAATTTACTTCCTACAATTCAATTTCATTTCAAGTTTACTTTTGTAATTTCTATTATTATTATTTTTAACATTGTTCTATAATTTCTACTTTTGTTCTTTCCTATTGTTTTACTTTCACAATGATAGTTTTATTGTTGCATTATAACACACTTAAAAGAACTCAAGGAGGATCTAAAATTCAATCATAATTATTTTCAAATTTATTTGTTCACCGATTACAATTTTTATCATAAACAATTATACTAACAAATAATTTTATATAATATATTATATTAACAAAAATTGTTTTAACACTTATAATTTTTATTTTTGATAAATAATAATCTTTTTAGGGGTAAGTAGAAGACAATGTGTCATAGGTTTAGTCTTTCAAAATATCTGCTAGCTAACGAGCATGCATGACAGGAGGCAACGGGTTGAATGAAATCGCTACCCATGTTTACACCAATTCATTAATTCAGTATCCACTAGGTTTGACCATTAATTGGAGAAGACAAATTAATTAATTCCTCTATTATTGAAAATGTTTAGTTCTTTGACCCTTCATTTTTGGGTGTGAAACAATCAATCCGACACATTCAGACTTCGTTTTCTTCGTTCATTGGTTCGTATTATTATCAACAGAATCACTAAATTAATTAAGGAACTAACAGTCTGTCTTTTGACTTAGGGGACATTGTTAATGTTAATTTCAATTTGATGCTCATGGTAAAAGTGTTTATAATCTAATAATAAATTACTCCCTCCTTTTTTTTTTAATAAGAAGTTTATATATATATATATATATATATATATATATATATATATTTGAGAGTGTTTAGTAGATTTTTTTTATTAGGTTATTTGATAAATGTAAAACAAAAAAATAAAGGTATCATAACTAAGGAGATTAAAATTTAAAAATAAATTTTAATAAAATTATATTTTACTTTATTTAAAATCACTTTTCATATTTAATCGATAGTAAATTTTCAATTTTATTCTAATTTATAAATATTTTATCATAAAAAATACATTTAATAATTTTATTACATCCTTCTTAGTACATTAACAATTTATTATTTTTTAAAACAATAAATGTTACTAGATTTATCTATTTATATTATTTATGACATATTTTCATTCATATTAATTAAATTAAATATAATTCTATTTCATCATCTTTTAATTTTGTATAAATAAAATTTATATGAAAAATTTATTTATAAATTTACTTTTTTATAATTTTTTATCAATATAAAGATAAAAAAATTCTATTGAAGATTTAAATAATCAAATCAATAATTAAAATAAACAAATGAATATTTATACAATAATAATAAAATTATAGTTGAAAAATTGAATACAAAAAATTAATAATTAAAAATTGAATGGCTAAATATTGAATTACTTAAAAATAATACAAATAAAAATGATAAAATTAACTTTACCGAATATAATAATAAAATTGACTATAACTAGAGATAGATTGAAAATATTATAATTAATTTTTAAAATTAATATATTAGTTACTTAAAAAAACTAATCTGCGTGATTCAATTAAAAGATTATTATAAAAAAATTGAAAGGAATATTTAGTCAGCTTAGTTTGCATCAAGGTCATTGTTGAAGTATATATGATTAATAGCCTTGTCTGCCTTTCAATCATGTGAGTATTAGTAACGTGAGAACAACTAATTACGTACAACACAACTTAATTATGTAGTTATATTCTTCATTTATGAAAAATAATATGTCCAAATAAGCATGATACCAATGTGGTGTGTTAATTAAATAATTGATACTGTAAATTTTTAAAATGTAATGTGATTCTCGATTTGCCAGCTACTAATCAAAATGTACTTCATTAATTGGGTTTTATTTTAATCTCCTGATTAATTTGTTTATAACTATTCTCACGTTTTTATATATTAGATAGTTGTTATTATTATTCATTATAAAACTTCAAAGGACAACGAATCAAATCTTTGACAAGTCCCATGTGTAAACTTTTATATGCAGGTGAAGTGTAGCTTTCTTCAACCTCGATCTGAGATTTTGAAGATTCAATATATCTTCAACAACTTGATCCTAAGATATTCTTCTATGGGGAAAGTGCCAAGAACGAGAAGAAATTTCTAGGCTGTATTTGAAATTAAGTTCTAAAAGAAAAACTAAGGAAACGATAAATTATCTTTCAAATTTTCTATTACAATAGTAATTATGATCACATTATTAACTTCTGTATTTATTCTTAATAACATTGAGAAGAAAATAAAGGATCAAAGCTATGCTTGAATTGACGAAAAAAAAAATACAGTGGAATGAAATGAATTAAAATAAAATGAAGTAAAATAAAAAATATTATTTAAATGTATTATGATAG